CCTAAACCCTAAACCCTAAACCCTAAACCCCGCAATCCCTCAAACCCTCCCTTCTAGCCTCTAAGCCCTAAACCCTCAACCGAGCCCTAAACCCTGCAGCAACCCGCCCCCTTCCCCCTTGCCTCTGAGCCCAAACCCCAAGCCCCAAACCCTAAACCCTAAACCCTAAACCCTACTGGGGCGTTGCTGCAGACGGCGAATCCGAAGAAAGTCGGGTCTGCTGCTTTGGCGAGGCAGTTGTCGACAGGGAGGACTTGAAACCCTAAAAGAGAGTTTCGTTTTGCATGCAGAAGGGCCCCGCTGCTGCTGAGGGCTGCGTAAACCCCCCCGTTGCCGTTGGGCGCCTGCTGCAGCGTGTGGGGCCGCAGCAGCAGCAGCTGCTGCTGCAGGTCAAAAGCTGGAAGAGACTCTTGAGAAAAGAAAAAGACTTTTTCTTTTTCCAATCCAAAAAAGTCCTTTTCAACAAAAGTCCTTTCCACCGCTCCCCGGTTCGTGCTGCTCGTCATCACGTACAGAGGCACGCTCGCCCTGCTGCTGCTGCTGCTGCTGCTGCTGCGGGCTGCTGCAGCAGCAGCAGCAAGCTGCTGCACCTTGCGAATTCGCTTGCAGTATAAATCAAAAAAAGAGTCTCCTGAGAAAGGGCCTATTGGGAAGTTCCCTTTGGGGCCTTCAAAGCCCAGTCTGCTGCCGTCGCCCCCCGCCAGCAGCAGCACGCCCAGCCGTCCCTCAGCTGTAGCAGCAGCAGCAGCAGCAGCAGCAGCAGCAGCGGCAGCGGCAGCGGGGGCGTAAGAAGCGGGCAGGGGACGAACGCGTGCAGGCAAGCGCAGCAGCAACAGCACTGGCATTTTAAGCAGCAGCAGCAGCAGCTGCAGCAGCTGAAAAAGCACACATGCTACTCAAGCAGCAGCAGCAGCAGGAAAGCCGCACGAGCACTACAGCAGCAGCAGCAGCAGCAGCAGCAGCAGCAGGCGCTGCGAACTCGCGCACCTATGAGTTTCAGTCCGGTCTCTTTCCAGTGTCTCCGCAGCAAAAGAGGACACTCATTTAGAGACACCACAGCGCAGCCTGCTGCTGGCAGCAACTGCAAATACGCAGACAACAGCTGCTGCTGCTGCTGCTGCTGGTGGTCTTCAGACCGCTGCTGCTGTTGCTGCTGCTGCTGTTGCTGTTGCTGCTGCTGCAGGACTTCGTTTAGAAGGGTCAAATCGACCTTGTAAGGAGGCCGGATTTGCTTTTGCTGCTCTCCTTTTTTCTGCTGCTGCTGCAGTGCGCTTTCCAGCAGCTGCAGCAGCTGCGCAGGGTCGTGTTTTGCTGCTTGCTGCAGCAGCAGCAGCTGCTGCTGCTGCTGCAGCCGGTCGTAAAAGCGAAAGACGTGGCCCTGGCCTGCTGCAGCGTACGCAGCGCGCACCGTCTCAGCCGAAGACGCCATTCCCAACAAAACCCAAACCCTAAACCCCAGACCCTAAACCCCAAATTCTAATCGCTAAACACAAAACCCTCAATATTTCGCACGGGAGGGAAGAAGGCAATTTGCCCAGGACACTCGCGAGCTAGCCGTGCGGCGAGTTGTAGGAAAAAAGGTAGAGACAGGTCGCTAAACCCTAAACCCTAAACCCTAGAGGCGAGACGGCGAAATCTGAAAAAAATGCCAGTGAAATAAATTGGCGGAAAAATTGCACAGAATATTATTTATTAAGAAAAAATGCCGCATGCGAGTACTCGAAGAGCTCTCCAGCCCCAAACCCTAAACCCTACCAACCACCTCCCAACGTCTTCCACTAGCGGTTGCCCCTCTGTTTGCGCGTTTTGTCTTTTATTTCGGTTTCATTACCATTTAAATTGAAAATTAAATGCAAATATAAAACAAAAACGCGGCCTTCTAGCTTTTTTCGCTCCAGTTCATGCCCTTGGAAGCAGCGGGGGTCACCGCCGTCTGCCTTCGTTCTCGGGTGTCTGTACACCTGAACGCGTCGTTTCACCGCGTCGTAAACTCTTTTTTGAGGCCCCTTGTTTGAGGTGTACGTACACTCCAAGGCCGCGCAATGTTCGCCGACGAAAACTCCTTTTTCTCTCCCGCCCCCTCCGGTGATTACCTTTCTGCAGAGCCACGCAAGAGCGTGGGGGCCCCCCTGGGGGCCCCCCTGGGCGGGTCTGCTGCGTTTGGGGGCCCCGAAGAGGGTTTCGGGTTTGGGGGGGAGGCGTTTTCGCAGGGGGCCCCCCCCTCGCAGCGGACGGGGGCCCCCCCCGCTGCAGCAGCAGCAGCAGCAGCACAAACGCCCGACGGATGCCTCTACTGCACTGCAGCAATGCTGCGGAAAGCTGTCAAAGAAAGGGCAGGGGGGGGCCCCCTGCTGCTGCACGGGGCCCCTGTGGGGATGTTGGGGCTCTGCGGTGTCTGTACAGCTCTCGAAGTGCGGCCTTCTCTCTTCCGATTTACACTCGAAGACCCCACAGCAGCAATTGAGGTCGAGTGCAGCAGCAAGGCGGCCCTCGCGCTGCTGCAGCAGGAAGAAGCAGCAGCAGCAGCTGCCCCGCCCTCCCCCAGGAGCAGCAGCAGCAGCAGCAGCAACAGCAGCAGCGGGGCGCTGCTTGCTGCGCTGAAGAACGGGGGCCTCGTGTCTGTCTTTGGCTATGCATGCACTGACGACAAAGGTGCTGTTTATATTGACTGCTGCAGAGCAGCAGCAATTAAAGACCCCAGAGAATATGCTGAGGCTTTCCCGCTGCGGGTCATTGCTGCTGCACTTCGAGCAGCAGCAAAAGAGCCCCACACTAAGGCCCAGCTCCCAGACACAATCAAGCAAGAAGCTCCAGGTCCAGCCCTTCCCCCGAGCCCGTCCTGCTGCTGCTGCTGCTGCTGCTGCTGCTGCTGCTCGGTCTGCTGCCGCTTACTTTAGCCGTGCTGCTGCTGCTTGTTCTGCTGCTGCTGTTGCTTGTTGCGCTGCTTTTGCTGCTGGTTTTGTCTGTGCTGCTGCTTCGAGGTGGTGCTGCGCACTGCGCTCTCGCTGCTGCTGCTGCTGCCGCTGCTGCGTATAGTGTTGTGTTGGAGTTGAATTTGGACTTTGCTGCTGCGCAGAAGAAGCTTCTTTGGAGCAGTTTGAGCACATCACGGAGCCGCTGCAGCGGCTGCTGCTGAAGACTTTAATGGCTGCAGAAGAAAAAACAATGAAGAGACATTTGCTGCAGCAGCGGCTGTCTGGCCATTCGCGTGAGCTGTCGATACACCCCAGAGCTGCGTAGACACCCCAGCGCGCCCCACACCCCGCCCCACACTTCCTGCTGCTGCTGCTGCTGCTGCATGCGTTTCGGGTGTACGTACACCGCAGCCGAAGCAATTGAAGAAGCTCTTAAGGCTCTCGAGGACTCTGGAGAAATCGCCTTGACTGCAACTTGGGTTTCTTTGGCTTCTTGAAAGAGACTTGAAGAATTTCTTTTTCAAGTCTTTTAAGAATAAATAGAGACATAAATACAATTTGCACAAAAATATATATATTTATATCTATATTTTTACATTTATTTGCATTTATATTTATATTTTGTTGATGTCTTTTTGCATGGAGAGGTGCATCCTGTTTATATTCATTCATCATTCTGTGTTTGTAAAGACACAAATAACAATTTCCACTTTTACTTCTGCAAGTACTTGTTGAGTGCATTTTAAATAAATAAATTAATAAATAAGAAAAATAAATATTTCAAATTTACTTTCAACACAGATGCACATTCTCCATCATTATATCAGCATATTCATATATAAACGCAACTATAAATCTAAAATATAAATATAAATATAAATGCTAAAAATATATAGAAATATTAGATATGAATACAAATATATAAATATATATATTGCAAATGGAAATTGCAAAGGTGCAATATCACACCTTTCGACAGAAAGGGAAAAAGGGGAAAAACTATTTACAATAAAGTGTTCTGAATTGAACAAAAAGAACTCGAAAATAAACAAAATAAACAATTAATTAATTCAAATTTAAAAAAAAAGTTTGTTCATTTATTTAAACTGCATGCAGAAACATGCGTGAGGCTTCCCCCGCCCCCAGTTTGGGCCCTGCAGGCCTCACTGCATTATTTCTTTTGTTTCGGATTTACTGTTATTGTTATAGACAATAATAATAATAATAAATAATAATAATAATATTAATATTATTATTATTATTATTGGTGTTACTAGTATTGTTTTTAGGGTGGTCCTGCTCGCTATATTGGCGGCTGTGTAGCCTGCACGGTGCGGGGACCCTAAAACCCTGAACTAGGGTTTAGGGTTCAGGGTTTAGAGCTTGGACGCTGCTGCGGGCATGGGCGGCATGGTTTCCCACAAAAGGCGCGAGAGAGTGCGGACTTGAAGGCCTGCAGAAGAACAAACGAAGAATAGGAAAACAACAGAAATGGCTAGCTGGGCCTAGCTAGCTGCCCACACAGCGCCCTCGACTCCAGCTAGCTAGCTACATAGCTAGCTAGCCAGCTAGCTAGCCAGCTAGCTCCCTAGGTTGATAAGACACGTCCCAAGGCCCGCCCGCGGCATGTGACTCTGAACCCGCTAACTGCCTAGCTAGCTAGCCAGCTGGATACCTAGCTAGCTAGCCAGCTAGCTGGATAGCTAGCTAGCTAGCCAGCCAACCATCTAGCGAGCTAGCAAGCCAACTGCCTAGCAGTTCAACTGGATTGCGAGGCCGCCAGCCACCTCGCTAGCTAGCGAGGCAGCTAGCCACCTATCCAGCTAGCTTGCTAGCTAGCGAGGCAGCTGGCCACCCAGCTAGCCAGCTAGCTGGCCAGCTAGATAGCTGGCTTGATTTGTGAGGGAGTGCGGACCGCTCATGAAGGCGAAGACCGCAGCGACTGCGCTGGTGGCAGTGAGGGCGGTGAGGAGTTGTTTGGAAAAAGTCTTTGCGAGGTCTGGGGCTGCTGGAGGGGGCGGGGGGGCTGTGAGGAGAATAGTGAAGTTTGCAAAGAAAGGCAAAAGGAGAGAGAGAGAGAGCAGCAGCAGCAGCAGCGCGCTGTGCTGCAGCAGCCCGGAGCTGCTGCTGTGGACCCCCCAGAGGCCCGCGCCCAGCGCCAGCCCCAGCAGCAAAGTGTTTGCTGCTGCGTGCAGCACTCGCCAGTTGAAGGCGCTGTTCAAAGCCAAAGGGTGAAAAGTAAAAGTGAGACTCAGAGCGAGCGCGGCGACAGTGGCGGCGACAGTCAGGAACCACAAGATGTACAGACACCGCAGCACGCGCAAGGCCTGCGCCTTTCCCTCCGCGTCAAAGTACTTCAAAAAAGAATATTTCGGTTCGCTGGACTCCAGGAGAGAGCCCGAAGGAGTTTCTTGCTGCTCCTTTGCAGACATTGTGGCGAACTGGAAGCTGATCCTGCACTCGGGGCGGCGGCTTTCGGGGTTTTGCAAAAAAGATCCTTCAAAAGGCTTCAATTCAACTGTTTTTGCTTCTAAATGCAAAATATAATTCAATAAAAGCTAATAATTGGGCTTTACGCTCAAGCGGTGGCCGCGCAGATCGCGAGCCAGACAGAAAGCCGCAGCTAGCCGCGGGAGAGGCTCTGCGGTGTATGCAAACACGAGGACTCCACGGCAAAAGAATCAGCACTTCTAAATTGAAATAATTCCTTTTAAAATGTTTATTTTGAAGTATATTTATTTACGCTTTTGTTTCGAGGTAGATCAGCCTCAACTGCAGGCTTTTCCGCAGATGCCCAGCAGCCAGACACAGTCGGTGCCACCGCCTTCCGATCTTTTGGGTAATTTAGATTCTTCTTGAAACATTAATGTCTCTCTACAACATAAATGGACATATGTTGTTTTAAGTATTCAAAATAAAGAAAAAAGTTTGTTTTTTAATAGAATTTGCATTTCAGAACGTTTCCAAGCAGTTCACCCACCCAGCGAGCAACCGAGTGAACAGCGGTCCTTGGGCTTAAGAACAAACACTTGCGGTCAATCTGCAAATGAAATCTAATTTAAAATCCAATAATGCAATTTAAAAATAAAAAATGAATTTAATTTAATTGCTAATTAAGCTTTAATCTGAGACAGACCTCCTGGTCACCAGGCCACTCCCTGCGACTGGGCTGTTTTCTTTCTTTTGCATAAGATATTACTATAACTTTGGGCGTTTCTTGAATATTAAAAACTCGAAATGGGATTAATTCCTATTTCAAGCTTTTGGTTTCAAAAAAACCCAAAGTTATATTAATTCAAATAGAACTCAATCTGGCTGGCCCCAGTGTGTACAAGGGCGCCGGGGTGTCTTGACACTCTTTATACCTCTTCTGCAAACTCTTTGCGCATTTCATTAACTTCAAATTTTATTTTAAATTCTGCACTCCTATTAACATTTGTTGTTCAGCATCGGTTATCACTCAGTTTGAGTCGACTTATATTTGCTTGCTTGCAAATATGTATTTCTTCATTTGTGTTCTAATCTGTGTAAATATGCTTAACTATAAGTACCGCATTGATATATTTGAATATGTGCAAGAATAAATAATATATATATTTGGGTAAATGCATATATTTGAATATATATAAATATATTTATTTGGATATGTGCATTTACCTAGAAGATAAAACCCACCATAGCAGCTGTGGAAGAATAAGATTACACTAGACTGGCTAGGCTTTTTGTATAGAGGCTCGGGGCTTTAAGCGAGGTAGCTAAATAAAGCATTTTCTTGAAAAAAGAAAATATATAAACAAATTAAAATTAAAAGAAAACAAACTGCTTAGAAACAAATGTCTTTTGCCCCCTGGAGCCGCCTCTGAAATGCAGCAGCGGCTCCCCAGGAGGCATATCAGAGCATGCAGTAGAACAGCAGCAGCAGCAGCAGAAACAGCAGAAGCAGCAGCAGCAGCAGCAACAGCAGCTGCAGCAGAAGCAGCAGCAGCAGCAGCAGAGAGCCCCTGTTGTTTTGCCTAGAGATAAAATGAAGCCCTCTTCAGACCTTGCGGCAGCTAAGCAACAGCAACAGCAGCAGCAGTAGCAGCTGTTGCTGCTGCAGCAGCTGCAGCTACAGCAGCAGCAGCGCGATGGGACAGAGCAGCTTAACTAGCACGAATGGGCTTAATTAAAAAGGCCAGCAGCAAACTAAGTGGGCCTTGTTGAATGACAGATATCTAATGGCATTAACAAACAGAACAGTTTTAATTAATTTCAATTAATTTTTGAGTTTTTGAATTAGTGCAAAAGCAAATGTGGAATTATTTTTTTGGACTTGCAGCGGCTGCGCTAATTGGCTGCTGAGACAGTCTGCAGCAACAACTTGTGAATTAATTCTTGTTTTGGGTCTGAGAAAAAAATAAAAGTGAAGTTGAGTTAAATGTAAAATATTTAATTTTTGTTTATTACCTTTCCGTCTCAAGAATGTGATATATTCACATGGCTAAAAGCCCCACAAGAGTCAACAATGGGGTCTCGAAGGGGCCCCTAGAAGCCCACAGGGGCCCCCGGGGGCCCCCAGTACTAAGCCTTTTGGAGGGCCCCCTGGGGCCCCCCAAAAGGCGAAGTACCTTTTACTTGAGCCAGTATGAGTCATTCATAGACTGATCCACTTAAAATATACCAAAAGGGGCCCCTGGCAGCGGGTACTTCCCCAGGAGTTTCTAGGGGCCCCTAGGGGCCCCTAGGACCCTTCATGGGGCTTTGAAGGGGCCCCCGAAGCCCCACAGGAATCCTGTGAATGACTTTCCCAGTCTTTGGTAGGGCTTCTGTAGCTGCCCCTGTGGCTGCACCGAAAGGGGCCTGGGGGGTCCCCTGGCAATCGACAGTCAAGGGGGGCCCCCATAGCTGCTCGCAGAAGAAAAAATTGGGGTTAGGTGCATTCTGTATAGAGTGGGAATTCAAATTCAGATTGCAGGAGTGGAAGTGGCAGTTCTGGGAAATTTTAAGGAGCTTGAAGATTTTCTAAATTGTGTTTGGACAATTTTTTTTTATAGATGCGAATTGTGCAAAATATACTTCTGCAGGATCTAAATTAAGTCAACGGCGCAGCCTTGGGCAGCAACGGATGCTGGGGGCTTGCACGAGCAACTGCGATGCCCAAATTCACAGAAATAATTGTTTCCTAAATGAAAAAACTAAATATGACAAGTAAATTGAACTGAATGGGGAAGAAAGGATAATTGGAGGTGAACTCAAGCGCACATGAAGCCGCGTCGGCCTTTGTGCCACTGCAGAAATTCAGCTTCGTCCGCAGCGCGTGCTTGGGCTTATTTGGTGAGTTCTAAATCTCCTTACCTTTTCTTCAGCGCGAAAATGCAATATTTTATTTATGGATTCCATATAAATAGATACATATTCTGAAATTGGGGATTAAGAAGAGGCTATAGTCTAGCCTTCTGCCTCGTTGGGGGATGCGCGAGGGTACGTAGCACACATCGAACGCCGAAAGTAAAAGAAAATCGAAATATTTGAAAATAGTGAATTTTGGTTGAGTTGGATATAAGTGGAAATGCATTAAGAAGGTCTTGCGATTTGGTTCATGTTGGTTCCGTTTAGCCGCGTCGATGCAACTCACCTCCCCGCAGAAAGGCTCCACTACGTCACGGAGTTTCTGCGCCTTCTTTGACGAAGAAAACAACCACGAAACTGATAACTTCAATTTGGATTTCACTTTCTGCTTGTTTTTCATGGAAAAGGGGCTTTTGGGGGGGATGTCTTCGGCCTTCGCAAGCTCATCCTTCACCTTGTACGACGGTGCACATGACCAGTCATTTTTACGAGTTCCATAGCTCTTGACGGCATTTCCCTCTTTTTTTCTCGGGCTTTTGGATTTTGTTTCAATTCTAATATTCAATTATTGCATTTTAGCTCCCGGATCTGGGCTCCAGCTTGCGTCCCAGCGGCTGGTTGAAGCCCTGCGTTTCTGCCCACAGCAGCTTGAGGCTTCTGCTGAGCAGATCCCTCACTTCCCCTTGTTGCTGCTGCGCACCCGTCACCTCTAGGCGCAGCCCCACGACTCCGCAGGGGGCCCCTAGGAGCTAGCGTGTCTAAAGAGCAGCAGCAGCAGCAGCGGCTGGAGGGCCGGCCCGCCCGCAGCGCTCGGACAGCGGCAGGCGGCACTCGGGAGCGGCGAGCCGATGAGAACCCCGGGGCTCCGCCCCGGTGTTGGCGGCGCTGTGAACGTGGACGGAGTGCCCCACTTTCCGGAGCCGCTGGCCCCCGAAGAAGTGCCTGCTGCGATCGCCGCAGCAGAAAGCCTCCCGCAGCCCTGGTGGGCTTTCTGGCGAAGACCCACGCGCATTCCCTACAGGCCTCAGGTGGTGGAGGTCTGGCAGCACGTGGCTTACGAGTACCACGTGTTGGGTCGCCGCCGCCCGCGGCCTGAAGGCTGAGGCTTCGCGCTGCGCTTCCCGCCGATTGCAAGTGGGAAAGCGAACTTTTTCTGCGTTTATTTGCCAAAATTCACAAAAATTCAGCAACGGGGAGCTCCTTGCTGCAGATCTCCCCGCAAAACCTGCACACCGCGGCTTCGCACACCTGCATGCACGCCCATGCATCCTCCTGATGCAGCAGCTGCAGGGGGGCCCCAAGGGAGGCCCCCTAGTGCAAATTCAGGCAGCCCGGGGAGCCCCTCTGGCGGCGGACGCGCCTTTCCCCGCAACTTCGCTGGCAGCATCTTTCCTCATTTGGCAAACATCTCCAGGGTAAGAATCCCGTCTTTAATTGCCTTATCTGAAGTTAATATGTGAGATTGTGCTGTTAAATTTCTCAAGATGTGAATGAAGTTCTAATTCAATTCATGTTTGCGCAAAATCAGCGGCAAACAGACAGCACTCTTTTGGCTCTTTTGCTCTCAGCGGCTTGAATCTAGTCTAATAAGTTTCTTTGAAACACGAACTTGGCTTTGTTCTGTTTCTCATTGTAGAAACTCTTCAAATTTCATATTGTCTTGCGCCCTCTAGTTCCATTTTAATTGCTGGTGTTCCCGCTGCTGCTATTCCTTCTGCTGGTGCTTTTCTTGCTGCTGCCGCTGCTGCTGCTGCAGCCTCCGGCAAAGTCGTATTCGTTCCGGAACGCGGATGTTCGGTTTTTTTGGCGGGGTGAACGAGCCGGAGGAGAAGGAAGACAATTCGGAGAGCGACGAGGAGCAAAGTGAAGTTCAAAATAAATGTTTGAGTTCGCTCAAGGAGTTTTGCTGCGCCGTTTTCCCCAACACGTACCCTTTCTTCTGGCTGCTGCTGCCCTTCGTCGTGTGTGGCGTTCTGGCTGCTGCCTCCTATGGCGACCAGTCAGACACCAGCCAAGAGGGGCTTCTTGTGTTCTCCACAGAAAACCATTTCCACCACACCAACAGCACCACCCCGGAGTCCCAAACAGTATTCGTCAGTGACAGCCGATTGTGCACAAATAGTAACTGCTGATTGCATGCACTTGAGCCTTCTTAGTTTCATTTTTCTTAATTTCACTAGCCAGCAAAGCGACACGACACAGCGTAGGCACTGCGGCGCCCGATGCCGGCTCTTCGTGTACGAAATTTCGTCCGTTCGAAACTTACGTCTAGAATTCAGGGTTTAGGGTTTAAAGTTTAGGGTTTAAGGTTCAAGTCTTGGGTTTGTGGCTTCGCGGCTCAGGTGAAGCAAATGAGCACACGGGAACTGACCTTGCAAGGCGTCTGGGTTCTTGCCTGCATTTCCCTGGCGAACGCGGCTGCATGGCTCGGCTGCATGGTGGCCAGGTGAGAAGCATCAATCGCCGACTTGAAATGAGGGTTTGTTCTTTTTCGTTTGTCTTTCGGCTGGCAGATGCACGGTGTCAGTGAGGGCTGCGTTCATATTTTCCGATTTTATGACTGGCGGCGCCTAGGCTGGATCCAGATCCTCCAGTTTAGGGTTTAGGCTCTCCATTATCTGGGGCTGAGACAAGAGCAGGCTGGGTGCAAAGAATGTGAATAAGGGTTTATGGGAGATTCCCTGGGGAAATGCTGGTGTGTTCAGGGCCGTGGGCTTGACGCTGATTGTCAACATTGGATTGTGTCAAAACCAAAGCATTTCTTCTTTGCTCGCGACCGTCGACCCGGAGTTGGTTTACTTCCTCTGGAGTGTCGGCATGCACATGTTCTGGCAGAGGACAGTCAGACAAGGTGACGTTTCTCAGGTCTTAGCCTCAGAACTGAGGCCTCACCATAGTTCCAGCAGCTTGGGCCCTAGAGTTCTTTACTGTATGCTAGATTGCCTGCAAAACATTGGCAAAGCTACTAGCCACAGGCTTCTGCTGCGAAGCCAAGGCCCAAACTAATTCCCTCAACCCTTCCTCGCGCTCAGTCTGCAGCCAGCCTGCAGCAGCACTCAGTCTCACTAGCTGGCCTCATTATTTCCCCTAAAGGCTGAATTTGAAAGGCCTTTGCTGCTGTTTCCCCGAGGGCCAGCGCCTGTTTGTCTGCAGCAAGGCTGCTGCTGGGTCGGGGGTGTTTGCCTGTTCAGGAAGGCTGTTTGGGGTGAAGGCCGTTGAAGACGGGAAGAGGGAGGCGGTGCTGCAGCTCTATGAAACCCCCTTGTTTGGTCCTTCTGTGTTCGTCTCGGCATCCATGGCGAAGTGCCATAATGTTCTTAGTCTTGTCGTCATTGTCCTTACTGCCAGGAGGCTGCTGCGAAGCATCATGGTTTTCTACTTCGAGCTCGGCTTCATGGCAAGCATGAGCGGACAGCTCGTCAAATACCTCACCAAATACGCGGCACTTAGAAAGCTCAACACCAAATGGTCGGCTACTGTTGCTGCTGTTGCTACTGCTGCTGCTGCTGCTACTGCTGCTGCAACCGCTGCTGCTACTGCCACTGCCCCTGCTGCAGCTGCTGCACCTGTTGCGGCTGCGGCTGCAAGCCTGAATTGCCGGCGCCGCCGCTGCGGCCTGGACTTCGAAGGAGGTGACAGAAATTTTAATTTTGCGTCACTTTGCTGCGTGGTTTGGTCTGACCTTGTTTGATGGGTGTCAGTCTTATCGAGCGTCTCAGCTTTTGTGAATGCTGCTGCGGTTTAGATGCTCAACAGCTAGCCAAGCAATTAGCCACAGCCTGAGTGTGTGCATGCGGCTGCATGTCCAGGGCTGCGTACCAACTCTGCAAGGGGACAGTCTCCCGAGATAGTGGGGCTGGCAGCCAGGAAGAAGACGAGGCCCTCGAGGCGGACAGGGGCCCCCGTTTGGACGTGGAGGCCCTGAGAAGGGGCAGGAGCGTAGCTTCTGTTACCTCTCGCTTTTCACAGAGTGCCCACGCGGGCCCTGCCCTCTCTTGTTAGAGATGAACAGTGAGTGCGGGGCGTTTCTTTTCTTTTGTCTCTCGTGGCGTTCTTTTGTGTCCAGGTTTGCCGGCCTGCTCCTCAGTAGGCGCGTGGTGCTGCTGCTCGCACTAGCAATATTTTATTTGCGCTCATCTTTGTTCTTGTTTGGTTGATCCGCTCTATTTTGCCTTTCCATCCGTCTTGCGCAGATTTCGATGCTTTTGTTTCTGTCTTGCTGTTTGTGGCTTTGTCTCGTTTTAGCCTTCATCAGCAGCAAGCTGCGCATTACGTCTCACAATAGTCCTTTTTGTCCCTTTTGACCTTCTCTTTTGTTTCCGTTTTTGGACGTGGTAAACGCATGCAGTTGCATGCAGTTGCAATCTGCTGTTTCAGGGAATTGCCGCCACCTCCTTCCTCCGCCCAAAGCCGTGAAGTACAAAGACAGAAGGCCAAGCAAGTTGGGGGCAGCTTTGTGAACAAGAGCATTCGCATTAATTATTTTCGCTTCCGGCCTCAAGAGAATAAAAACATACAAGTCAGAGAGCTCAGAGGACAGGGTTCGTCTCTCAGTTTATAGCTCTTCAACTTGTTTTCCTCCGCTTCATTTCGCTTCATATCTCCGCGCTTTGGGTCTTTTCATTGTTGCCGCCCAAAGACCCCTACCCTCCGCTTATTTGTTTTGCATGCCTCTTCCTGACCGTGTAAATGCCCTTTCTTTTGTGTTTTTTCGCTGTCTTTGCCCCTCTTTCTGTTTGGATATACTGCGCATTTTCTATAGCCTTGTCCCTAGAGTGTGTTGGCGCGTACAGGCATTCCCAGCCAGCTGACCCGCTCTTCAATTGAACGCTGCAAGCACAGCCGCGTGCACCACTGGCTGCTGCTGCAGTACGTGGCAGTTTTCCCCCCCGCTGTGTTCCTGAAGGGGGAGCGCATAGAAATTGACTCCAAGGCCAAGGCTCGGTCTGTGTCTGACCGTCTCTTTATGGCGCTGGCGCAGGACGCAGCAGAGCTGGAAGCAGAAGGACATTCCAGAGAATCTCCTGATCTCAGGCACAGAGCGGACCCTGCTGCGGACGGGCTGCAGCAAGGAAGGCCACCGCAGCAGCAAACCGAACACGAAAGGACTGTCAACTGGCTGGGCAGTCCAGCGCTGCGCAAGGTCGTCACAGTTGGCCCCAGCGACGACTCAAGCGTGACTGCGATAGCAGCGCCAGCAGCAACAGCAGCAGCAGTAAAGGCGAGAGGTGCATCAGGAACAACGGTAGCAGCAGCAGCAGCAGCAAGGCTGTACCCCACAGACGCGTCTACGCTGCCCGCTAACAACAGCACCACCGCCACAGACCCAATGGCTGCTGAAGAAGGCGCTTGCCGGGCCTCTTCTGGATTGGCCACTGAACTTTTGCCTGTCTCTCTGGCTAATGATGCTGCTGCTGGCGCCATAGATGAGGGGGCACTGCAACAAGGAAGTGAGTTATCTCCTTCAGACTGCAGTTCAGTTGCGTCGTCAGTCAAATCCAACAGTGACCGACACATAAAGATTAGGAGTAGGCGCATCTCAGAGATCCGGCGCACAGCAGCAGCAGCAGCAGTTAGCTCCGGCCGCAGCGCAGAAATGGGAAAGAAAGGCTCAGTAAATTGGCCTCCTCCTAAGGCGCAAGAGCGAAGGGCTGCTAACAAAGATGCCCCTGCCTCTGTCTCGGCGGGCAATAAGAAAAAAGAAGCAGAAGGGCAGAAGAAAGGAGCAGCAGAGCAAGAGACAGACAAGTTGAAGGGTTTCAAAACATTAGGCGGTCAGACAAAGACAAGTTCACCTTTGTAGCCTAGTGACAGTTCGCGAGACTGAGGGCTAGTACTTAATTCTTTCTGCAATTATGGCTTGCAGCCCCAAAGAACATACTGCGCAGACGCGGCGTGTACAAGTACTGGAAAATCAGACACATTAAGTGCTTCAGGTAGATATGCATGTCTAAGTCTATTGCTTGCATGCACCCTTACTGGTTTCTTCTGCTCAGAGTCGTTCGAGGCATCTATGGACAATACGGAAGGGGCCCACGGGCGCTCTGCACGAAGTGCTGTGACGCAACACATCTCGACCCTGACTCCGTTCAATATTGCCATCCGGGCCCCCTCACTGGACGCAGAACACGGCGAGCCTCTGGTGAGCATTGGAGTTTGTGTTCAGTTGCCGTTGCAGGTGCCGCTGAAGACAGATGGAGGGGTTAAACTAAGATCGTACAGGCTCCAACTCAAAGCTTTTCCCTTTGATGCTCTCGGTGCCTATGTTGTTGCTGATGTTGTTGACTTCCTTGCGAACTGTCTTGCAGCCGCTCCTGCTGTGTAGATCCTTTTGTTGAAAGCAAAGAGACGAGGTGGCAGATGGCCGATCATCCCCACAATGGAATGTTGTGTGCTTTTGTATGTTTTTCTGATTGCAATTTATTTTCTTTAGGCTCCCAGGTTTGCATCCGATCAGCAACAAGGCCAATGGCGCCCTTCTGCATCTTCTCGCGCAAGTTTTCGAGGAAAAGCGTTGAGTCAGGGTCTGGAAGATCTTAGTTCTACCCCTACAGCTGCCTTCAATGCGAGCTGCTCTACAGATAGACAGGACAGGTCCGATGGAGATGCTGAAGTAATGGGGCCGCCCCGTCTTACCAGCAGCGGAGACACTGGGAGGCGGCAATCCTCTTGCTCCCCGCATAATTTGCCTTATGGGGACTGGAAACAGACAAAGACAGAATTGAACAGTTCTTATTACCCCACTGCCCCTCCGCTATGCCAAAAGCGGAGTCTGTACAGCGGGCCGCCGTCCGGGTCTATCTCAGAAGAGGACCAAGATATAGAGACAGGACCTCAAGAACGCATGCAGCGGGATCCGGCACTGCTAGGGGCGGCAAATCTGAGCTCACGTTTGTATTCTGAGGACATCAACAACATCTTGTACCCTAAGAGCTCCTCCATTGCCTCCGACTTCCACGTGAGACGAGGCTCGTTGGCCAGCGGAGATGGGAGCGGCACACGCCGTCTTCTTGACCCCAGGCATGTAACTGATGATGACTATATTGCCAACCAGAAGGGTCTGTACGGGTATTCGGGGGTCTCGCCCGAGTACTTCACAAGGGTTTTCGTCGAAATGTTCCTAAAAGGTGACGAAGTCGATGAATTCATGAAACTTGTCGACTTGGCGGGTAAATCGCACATTTAAAGCATGTCACAGGCCAGCCATCGTCCAGATCAAACACACAGCTTGAGCACCACTCCTGCACAGCCTTATGTACTGAACGCTGAGGTAATCGATTTGTGGGACACGATTTACCACAAAAGATGCGCGTAAGCGCAAACGCGCAGGGAATCCAAACAGCGTATCGGGCTTTAGGAACTGCTGGCAAAAGCACATATAGTAGTTTTTGAATCTAGAGCCATGTGGAATTAATTGAGCTGTTGCAGGCCACGGCAAGATCAATCAGCCAATGTTCAAGAGAGCCATTGTCTCCATTTACAAAATGCGAAAGGCGCTTCTCAAATCCCTAACAGTGCGCTCCTTTCAAGCGTGAACCTTTCCCATCGGTATCCCCGGTTATTTGGATTTAACTGAGGGCAGCGGCTCTCCCTGGCTAAATTGACTCGACAGGCCCGCATTGTTGTTCCTGTGAAGACTTTGCAGCAACGGGAGGCTAAGTATGAGATCCATTTGCACTGTTGTCTACGGCCTTTGCAGAGTCAGGCCAGCATTTGCAAAACTGTTCGGCGAATGATATCTGTGGTGTTGTGGGTGGCGACTCTGGTGGCGATGCTACTTGTGTTTGGAGTAAATCTCAATACGGTCCTGGTCTCTGGCGCAGCATCTATATCTGCGCTAGTGGTCGCGCTAAGTAAGTCCCTAAACTTGGACAGGATTTCGCAGCATCTATATCTGCGCTAGTGGTCGCGCTAAGTAAGTCCCTAAACTTGGACAGGATTTCTCAGGATTTCTCAGCTCTCATGTCCTGAAGTGCCTGCTTCAAGAAACGTGCTGTGCAATGACTAGACACAGAAGCTTTAAAGCTCAAGTGGAAGTGCGTGGAGCCTTATGCTTTGTCATGGGACTCTAGGGCTCTAAATCTGGGCCTCGAAATTTAGTATCTAGTCTTCAAGTTAGAGGGACAACTGCGCTTCAACGTGGATTCATGTGTAAACCTGCTTAGTTCATTTCTGGCATCAGTAACCTGCCAGATCCCCAATTCCCATGGCTGCGATATCCCGTGACTCCATTGTGTCTTGAAATGTGTCGCTTTAAATCTCACTTGTGTCCAACATTCTTGTGTCATTTTATTCACAAAAGTGGTCATTTTTGGCAAGCTTTAGAGGTTCGTCTGCGTGTGTTTGTTTTTTTAGGCTACATTTACCAAAACTTCATCACTGCCGTCATATTCGTGGCATTTACTAATCCTTACAACGTGGGCGACAGAGTGCGCATTGACAATGGCGAGGCGATGTACGTGCGCAACATCCATACGTACACCACGGAATTCGTAACAATTCATTCCAAGCCGGTGAGCCTCTACCCGCAGTTTTTGCCATGTGCACGTTCCTTTGGTCTCACTGCAAACAGTGCATTGCTAGTGGGCTTTGCATAAGTTTGAATTCGGTGGCTGAGGAAGCTGCGCTTTCGTACCCTGCTCCTTATTTATGAATCCATTGAATACAAAAGACAACAGAGAAGGGGCAACGGGAACTGTTCTACGCTTTTGTTCAGATTGTGTACAGCAACAGCGTTTTGTTTGGGCGTCAGTTGACTAACGAATCCCGGGCCACAAACGCCACATTCTCCATGCCAATGCGACTGGACATTCGCACACAGCTGCAGGCACTCCGTTTCTTAGAGGCGGGAATGCGCAGGGCCATCGCTGCGAGGCCTATGGATTTTGTGAAAGACTCATTTAGCATATACATCACTGATGTGCAGCCAGGACGGTGGATGGATGTACGCAGCTGACCATTTCGTTGGCGGCTTGAATAAGTAGCCGTAAAATAAGATACTTGAAGGCATTGCCATTTTGATTTCGGGCTTGGAAAGCGATAGGTTGAGTCATAATTGTCCCAGCTTATGCGTCTGCAAATTTCTGAATGTTTTGGGTGGTCTGGTCTATTATTTTCTTCCATGTGTTTCGTGCCTCTCGTGAGTGATCCTATTCGTACTTCACACGCACCTAAAACACATCTCAGCAACATGTAGAACGCTTGTTGCGGCTTGAAGTGGCCCCTGCTCGCATCCAAAACAATTTTCAAGACGCTACAGTGATGAGATAGCATGAAAGAAGCGTGAACGTGAATATGAAAGGTATGAGGTAGCAAGTCGTAGACCATGCTCGGATAACGAGTAATTGGGAGTCCTATTGCTGATTTGTTCTGTTCCTTCTTCGCTTCTTTGTTATTCACTTTGTATTTTTCAGATAACGGTGTGGCTGAGCGCGGTTGAAGGCTGGGGCAACGCACCCAAGGTCTTGCGGCTGCGGACGGACATGTTTCTCGTACTGCAGCGTCTGTGCACCCGCTTTGGTATTTCATACCAAGAACCACTGCTACCAGTGCATCTTAATGCCACACAATTCTCGGCGTCGACCCCGCCACAGCTAGCAGGAACTCCAGCCCCTCGTGAGGAACGAGCGATGCTGTGCTAGTTCACTCAGAACTAGCAATGCTTTCCCCAAAGTTACTCCTTACTATATTAAGTAATGAGAGCAATGGCTGGTGATGGCAGTGGTCCAAATTGCATCTGCTGTAGTGCACCACGCATGAGTCACAGCCTAGCTGCAGCAGGGGAAGAATTGTTTGCTTGTGTGCTACTCACATGTATGCAGAGTTTCGAGCAACACCGTCTCATGGCGCTGCTGCTGCTGATCCTAGTTTTTCGCCTTATTTGAGGAAACAGCGAGACGAGTGTTGGTACAAGGACAGCCCGCCGACTCATATGGGCGTGCTTTTGGAAGACGCCCTTTGTGACTCTTCAATGCTAGCATCACTCGACTCCCCAAGTGCTCCACCTGTTGCACCGAGGGAGCCACCCCGAAAAGCCCCAAGGAGAAATTTTCCAGCGTGGCAGGAGCAGAAGCAGTCTCGCATTGCAGCCAGGCTTATCGAAGCACGTGCACCAGTCTATTGCGGCGAACCGGATGGGTGGAATTTTGAGGGGCCCAGAGCAGCGTTGAAGTACCGGAGGCGCCACAGACAATCCAGATAATACGAAAGCTTATCTGCTTTCTGCAGCTACAGTCCAGGGAATAGCGCAACTTGTGCCAGTAGGCAAGCGGCGCCAGCAGCTCGACCAGGGCACGCAGTAAGCAGCTTTCGCTGCAGTACTACCTTTCCTCCTACTGTGGGCTATGAGGAGGCTGAAATCAGTCAGAGCCACACATAATATGGCAGTATACCAAATTATATCAAGCGGAGGGGAAGATGAAGTGAAATGGCGAGAAGGCGGCACCCGTTATCGGGCAGACTGTTAAAACTGTTTAAAAGGGAGTACTAAATTCTGTGTTAATAATTCAACATTTTAATATAATTTTCCCCAGTAGCTAAGTTCTCCGTTCTTCCCCACCTCTAGAATTTGTGTAGAAATTACGACTGCTACTTTCCGCCTCCAAAAGAAATACTTTGATCACTTGGAGCATTATTTGCCTCGTCATCTGTGTGTTCATTTGGTTTTCCGAGGGGCGTCTGGTCCCTTCAAAGCACAATGTAGGAGTTTGAATTGTTCTTAGAAATTGGTTATTTCGTACTACTGGTTCCTCCGAATTCAAATAGTGGCTCACACAGAGCTAGCCTACCAGCTCCACTGGCGCTAGCCCAAAGTGTGTGGCAAAATAAATAAATTGATCCATGAAGACCGCAGCTTGCAAAAGCGCCAAAATGTGGATGGAGACTAATTTTTCGCGGCCTTCTACCAAGAATGCTGCAGTACCTAGAGAGCAAGCACGCTTTTATTAAACGGTGAGGGCCATTCGAGGATGCTTCTTTGCACTCCCAAGCCATTTCGCGTTCGTACAACTGGTTGTGTGCAAAGATTGCAGTAAACCTCCTCATAAATCTCTGTGGTCTTGCAATTATTACTAGTTGTCTCCGGCAGTTCACTTCATTTGCATCGGCCCCTTTAACTGGTGGACCCAATTTCGCTTGTAAATACACGACCCCAGGAAGCTCCTTCAAACTGGGCGTACCAGTTTAACAGGTTGAAGTAGAGTTGTAATTCAAATGTTGCCTTGGAAATTCCAGAAGGTCAATCATCTCCCCACAGGCCTGGAAAAGACAAGAGTTAGTGTGAGCCGTTGTGGAATGCCTGTGATTTTGTCTGTCTTTAGCCAGGCAAAGGGCTTGTGGGATGCAATGATGCTACTTATCAGTAGCAGCCGATTTCATCTCCGGAGGGGGAATACATGTAGAATGTGATTACTGCTGAAGCATGAAATTGCACTTCGAAGCATTTTTCGCACTGGCTCTGATCGTTTTTGTGCAACGATACCTGCTAATAGTCCGACAGTCTTGAAAGGCTGCCGCAGCCATTGGACTTTCACTTGGGGAATGTCGGCTATGCCCTTTCGGGATAGCTGGCCGGCGTGCGACTCTCACTGTAGTAAAACAGATTTAAAGAACTTGGGTTGCCAATATCACAATCGTTGGTAGCCGCGTATGTTTCAGAGCTAGGCATTCTCAAACTATCAGCTAGGACAGCTTGCATTCTACACAAACACGTTCACAAAAAGGAAGATACCCATCCGATCCTTGGAATTTTCTCAAGATAAGGCATATTGGGCTCAAATTCCAAGACAAATTCAATGTTCTGTTTGCATTTGCAAGTTGCTCGAAGATGCGTCCCGTACCTTATGAAAGAACATGGCAGCGTCTTGGAAAATTCAACGAACCGCCAAGAGATCATCCCAAACAAAGTACATTTCAGTCAAAAAGTTTAATTTGTCTTATGCACTGTGATCCTGGTGAGGTTGTGGGAAAAGGCATTTCACATGAGTTCTTAACAGATACAGTTGCTCCTGCTGTGATTGCAGGGTCAGCTGCCCTTGTTTCGTCAAGATCACTCTGAAAAGCTGTGCGCATCTAGGGTTCTACAGTGCGTGGTATTTGTACAGGCAAATATGTACTTAAGTTTCAAAGGAGTTAAATTTGTTAAGCACAAATTTGCACGAACAAGCGCACAGCCCACTAGGACTGTCGGCCCTAAAGAGGCAGGCGGGGCTGCCTCGACAGAATTTTAAGGATGAATGCATGAATTCAAGAAAATCTTTGTGCAGTTTTAGTCGTATCGGGGGTACTCGGAGAATTTTATTCTATAATGGAAGCCTACTTTTCGCCGCTCATGTTCTACGCGGTTCTAGCGGCCGCCTCGCAGGCGGTAGGACACGGATTGCATCGAAACCTTTTGGAGCTTCACAATCAAAATGAAGGCACCTCACCGCTACAGATTGACTTAAAATATGCGCCTAAACTGAATATTGTCGCAAAACCCGTCCTGTTTGTCGCTCTGCTTGCTGCTACACTGGGCTTGATGTTTGCCGTCTTCAGTTGCTTTAAAGCCTTAACTTCTGGCAGCGAGGAAAGCACTACCGGCATGAATGCGAGACGACTTGCTGTAGGATACGAAGATCCTTGCGACGTAAGTTTACTATCAGTCTTTCCCATTCTGTGTTCTGTGAAATGGTGCGTTTGATGCTACCCGGTACTCATTATCACTTGTCCCAGGAGTGATTCACTTTCATTCTAAGGCCTTGGCTCTAATAATTAGGTGGAACAAAACAGCAGCAACTGAAAAGGGGCTGTACCTCATAGGAAAGGCCAAAGTTTGCGCCGGTGTTCAGGCAGCACTCAACACTGTATGGATATGGTCCCGCTAGCTGTGCGTTGTTGGGCCAATAAAACTATACTACGTATTTGGTTTTAACTTGGTTTGCACCTGTACACTAAAACAGATATCATTAGAGAGATACTTAAACTTGGTAGTTGCTTAGTGGATGTGTAAGAAGCTCCGTCGCGATTTCGCATCTCATTTCCCCACAGCAAGTGTGTTGCAGCATTGCTCATCAATTCACAGGGAATGAGTGACAGATCTTGACTATTTGGAAAGCTTGCGAGCTACGCAGCGCGTGCAGGATTCCGCTTTTAGCATGAAACATCTCAGCGACAAACTGGAGATAATCTTCAAACCACTTTAGTGCGCTTTTGCTCAGGTAGTGGAACAGTTATAGCGTTGTGCCATAATTGGACACGCGCCTCGATTACTTTTGCAATTTCTGGTTACCTACAAAGCCCTGCTCATCTGCGATGCTTCTGAAGATATGCTAAGAGGAAAAGAACCCCCGTGAATCCCCACAAAAATCGAAGCGAAAAAATGTGAAGCGTTTCTGTAAAGCTGCATCTTTCAGACAATTGAGTGAAATTATTACCCGTTCCCCAGGGTCTGCAAATCCGTTAGCGCTGCCGCTGGCCTATTTCAAAATTCGTCAAATTGGCACGTCTCTATTGAAGTGACTCTCTATGTACGTGGACACAAGCAGCTTGTTTGTGCCTAGCATCATTGCAACTGGGGCAAGTCATTGATTTTTGTGTAGACGGTGATACGTAGGAAAACAAGAATTGTTTACAGCCCGGTACTGTAACATGTTCCTAGTGTGGGGTTGAAAGAGATTTGTTCACGGCAAACAATGAAAGAACTAGAAATACTGCAAATGGCTTCCTATAGGTGGTCACAAATTTAGCAGTCCGCATGCCGAGAGAATCGACTCGAAAACGTCCTAAGGTTTTGATGCAGTAGGGGAACCGCCGAGCGACGCTGCTACACAGACAGAAATGCGTACGATTTGATGTAGAATGCTAGACAGGTGGAGAAACACTCGCAAAATCCGAATTTATTTTGATAGCTGCAGGGAGCGTTTGCCATGATGAACACGATTAGAACTTCGCTGGAAAAGTCATGGCAGGTGGTCAGAGGGAAACGCACCTACCTGCGTGGAAGCCTAGGATAACCAAATGCTATTCAGCCTGTGCGTGCAGGACTGTCTGCAAAATGCAGGGTGAAGATCTTGCTGTTGCGCGCACTAACATAGCTGGCAGTGCTCGTTTGTTGAGCCTGAAGCATTCATTGCTGGCGGTAAAATGCACCGAAACGGAAATAGTGTAGCCCTTCACGGACTCGCCAAATAGGCGCGCTAGTGCTCGTCTTTAAGTAACGGTGATTCAGTGGGTGAAAACTATTGCGAAGAAGCAAGGAAAATGAGACGCAAACGCAGTCGTGTTCTTTCCTTGCATGCTTCGCTAAAGAAGTCTCTCCAGAAGATGTATGTTGTCGGTGAACACATTGCGGACATGTTGCGGCGGTGACTGCTGTGTCACAAAATCAGCAGTGGATTCTCCTTGCAGGAAGGCTCCAGCTTCACGCTGGCGTGAAGGAGAGCAACCGTGCACCATTATGCCTAGCACTGCTGACGCCCACAGAGGTGACTGTGCTGGTCATGTGTGTACTTGTCTACAGAAAACTGAGTGGCGAAATCTCTAGTGCAAGCGTTGATAATGCCAAACCTATGTTGGTTGGTGGCAGTGGCGGCTCATGCCTGCCACTGAAAAGCGTCACATGGCACTGTAAAATGGTGCGGGAAAACCACGGTAGTGTGGGAGTTAATATAAGCTTTTGCCGCATGCAAAACATACGCTCTGAATACATATTTAAATAAGGGAATGCGCGAAACTGTGTCAGCTGGCTAAGCGTTCAGCACTGATGATGGTAGTTTGGAAAATTTCCACTAAGAGTTGGTGGCTGGTAATCCATTGCTGCCTGCTACGGGGGAAGCCTAGCTGAAGAAATGGCGGCTGGATATGTAGACATATGCTTCAATTGTTTTCCAGTATTTGGTGTTCTGTGGAGGGTGCAAATAAGCGAAGCAACGATTAGCGCAAAGCTGAACATTGTGAGTGGTAGTAGGCTGCGTGCTTGCTTCCCGATGTTTGAGGATTTGTCCTGATTTCACTTAAAACTAAGCTTATCAAGATCCCTGGCTTGCAAGCAGATAGGGGTAAAGCGACACACGAAAGGTCTTTGAAGCCAGCATTAGGTAATTGTTGCTTAAATTTGGAGAGTGAGCTACTTTAGTGGCTGCGCGACAAGATGTAGGAGGCTGCTTTGTGGCAAGAGCAGGCTGCTAGCTGAAGCAAGCAAGAATGTAATGACGTTGCATGTAA